TCACAGTGTTCAGCATGCGAAACTCTGCCGCGCGTGGCACTGACGGTATATGCATCCGCATGTTAAAAGTATGCTTCCAAACTATTGGCGACATCATTTTACACATCATTAACGTCTCAATCACCCGTTCCGACATTCCTGACCCCTGGAAACACTCTATCGTTCAACCGATCTTCAAGTCGGGCAACCCATCTGACCCCAGCAATTTCAGACCGATCTCCCTAGTTCCCGTAATCATGAAAATCATCGAGCGTGTAATCCATCAGCAGCTCTATCACTATCTCACCCATAACCACCTTCTTTCGTCTACCCAACACGGATTCCGCCCCCGACACTCCACTGAGACTGCACTGCTGTCAGTCACAGATAGCATCCTTGCCGCCACCGATAGGGGTGAGATCTCAATGCTATGCCTCATAGACCTTAGCAAATGTTTTGACGTCATTGACCATGAACTCCTTGTCAAAAAGCTCCAAATCTACGGTATTGAGACCTCCTGGTTTTCCGCTTATCTTCAGGGACACACGCAGAGTGTATCCCTGAAAGACAAAACCGGCCGTAAGATAACCTCTCGACCGCTCCCAAACACCGTAGGAGTTTTCCAGGGTTCGGCTTTGGGTCCCCTCCTCTTCACTATATTCTCCAACGACCTCTCACTATTTGCCGGAGACGCCACCGCTTATCAGTACGCAGACGACACCCAGATATTGGTGAGCGGCCCACGCAACGACATCAGGAGTCTCATCTCGCGCATGGAGGCATCGCTAGAGTCACTTAACGCATGGTTCTGCGCACACGCCCTGAAAGTCAACGCTTCTAAAACTCAACTGATGGTATTCGGTAGCCGACAAAACCTACGTAACCTGCCTCGCTTCAAAATCTCTTTCCGTGACGCTGAGCTCCTGCCGTGCGCGCAGGTGGGAAACCTGGGTGTTGTATTCGACGGCGCACTCACCTGGGAAGCACACGTGGCCGAGCTGAGCCGTCGCTGCATGGGCGTACTGATCGGCCTCTCCCACGCACGACACTGCCTCCCAGACGGTATCCTCAAAACGATCGTGACTGCACTCGTCATCTCGCGCGTCCAGTACTGCCTCACTGTATATGGAAATGGTTCCCAGAAAAACTTCGACCGACTTCAAAAAATTCTAAACTTTGCAGCACGGGTCATATTCGGCCGCCGGAAATTCGATCACGTCTCTGGCCTCCGCGATTCACTCGGATGGATGCCTCCGAAAGCTATGGCCGATGTTAAAACCATGGTAACTGCGCAGAAAATAATAAGCAACGGCGAGCCCGAAGCACTAGCTGCCATCTTCACGAATAACAGTGACGCGCGAGAGAGGTCCACCCGGCAGGACCACCTTTTCCACCTTCCACGCTCGCGGCTCGAGACTGGCAAGCGACGATTCGGCTACCGGGCCGCGGCGCTACTAAACAGTCTGCCTCCCGGTGTCATCGAACAGCGCCCCGCCCCATTCGCCCGTGCGGCCAAGGCTGCAGTCTGTCCGGCGATGGCGACCGCCCGACGATGACCCGTGTCAGGGGAAGGAGGTGCGACATCCGTATGCGGTGTGCTGTCTTGAATCGTCCGTTTGTATATAGAGAGAGCGAATGTCCAGCGATTGAATCTGTATGCCTGTGTTTCTTGTCCCCGCATGTTTTTGTTTGTGCCCGACTCAGACTCTGGACTGTAATCGCCACGCCCCGCGTGGATTGTCCATGAAGGTAATACAATACAATACAGAAAGTCCGTTGCGACGAACCGGACTCGGCCAAACACCTGTTGTTCGACTACCCCGCCTACCAGGGGCCACGGACCCGCCCGTGGGGCCCTTTGCCGACGCTGAGGGAGATCCTTTCCACCGAGGCTGGACTCATCCGGGACATCCTGGTGGAGACGGGCCGGGTCACACGAGATGACATGCTGAAGAAGAAGAAGAAGAAGAAGCACCGCCCAGAGGATGCCACGGAGTCGGTGTTTTCAGAAGACGAATCTGAGTCACTTCCCGTCTCCGCCTCCAGTTCCACCCCGCCCGCTTCTCAAAATCGGGCAGTTTTTTCTTTAGTTTCAGTAACAATGCTCGATTTAATTCATTGAGCACAATAAAAACAGTAATTGGACACTCTAATGACATGCTTTTTGCAACAATCAGCCTTAGAAGCGCTCAAAAGCATCATTTTCAGCGGTAGTTATTTTGCATTATTACCTGCTGCAATACTTGGTGTTACTCGCAGTGCTGGCTGACGCTCAGCATTGGAGACTGCAACGCCGGGCGCCAAAACTTTGAACGGCTGGCGCCGCACGATTTTTAATTTTTTGCAAAAACGGTTGCTATGCCGTGTGTTTGCAGGTCTCAGTGCCAAGGAATTTCTTTACGGCATTTGGTTCTGTTACTGATGACACACCCTAATGGGCACCGATCCCACAGCGTCCGAAAGGCATGAGAAAAACCATCTTCCTCGCACACAAACAAATATATCAAACCACATCAAAAATGCTTCCTTTGAATTGCACAGCAACGCGCAGAAAAATGAAACTCGTGGAGTTATTACATTTTGGAGGACCTTTTCGTAGAGTATGCCTTATGTAGGGTCCGTTGCCACCTGTCTGGATCCACCCATGCCTGATCTCATGCCACTATCGGCTCCCCCGCACCTGTAATCGCCCTCCGCTCTCCGCCGCTACCAGTCTGGCTGCACCACCCTGTACGTCATGTTATCCATGGTCCGAATCTCCAGGCCCGCTCCGTAGTAGCTGATGATGTAGTCGGAGCCGTCAGCCGGCTTCACCACCTGCGTCGCAATCAGGACAATGTCCACTAGCTGACCGACGAACAGAAAGCCGAGAGTGCAGAACTTGAACAGACCCAGGCCCGGGTAGCCCAGGTAGAAACGGTCGGCGCCCAGAAAGCCGAGAAACACCGACAGCAGCAGGGACGTCTCGAACGAGTAGCCGTTGCTGCCGATCGGTGGGGGAGGTCGGTCAATATTGCGGCACTAGCGCCCGTGGAGGCGGCGAGCTCGTTATAAGGATGCCTGGAAATGTGAGAGCGAGCAGCATCCGATGAATGAAATGGTGTCACTGTGAATGAATGCCGCCATCCTGAAAATCTCATCACAACTACCTAAATCTATTTCGTTGATTTTTTTTGCGGTAATTGCAACTAAAAAATTCGAACTACTTGAACAGTGTGTGCCGTGGAAAGGACTGAGGCACCGGCAGCGATACCTGGCGTTGATTTTATGAACTAAAGCTTTCCATACTTACACACAAGAAAAGGTATCGGAATATAGGGCCTTGGTATCGGAGATTGGAAGCGATGAGCAGACGAGACGAGGCATTACAATGAATTTTATCGGTAATTGGCATAAAAACGGTAATAAATTGCAAACAGCACTTCATTTGGAGGGAAATGATCATCGAAAAGTCAAAATCACTTGCCAACTACCATTGGCATTCATTCAGACTTACGTGTATTTGCAGGGAATGTGCTTCTCAAATGTATTATTTCCTGATTCCTTGCATATTATTCCTGGAGCAACAGTACAGTTTACTGAAAAAATGGAAAATAGTTAACATCTGAAAGCAGTTAGAAGATAGAAATACTCATGAATTACCATCCATACAAACTCAATCTGTAAATGTAATAAAACAATAGGCAGGTGCATTGGAACACATCAAATCTACAATAAACAGGTCCACATGATGTGACTTATAGGCTTTAATCATTTATCTTTTCTGTGGAAACTCAGTAGGAAATAGTGTAACTGTACGCCCCAACCATATTGATCTGATGTTTTCCTCCAGGGTATTAAATTTAAATTGGTACCTACCAGGCTATTTGATCATACCTAATGCCTTTCCTTCAGGGGTGCATCCTGCTGGCTGTTGTGTCTTGGGGTCAATATTGAGGTCTAGACATAAATACTGCCCCATTTGCAGTGTTGCCGCACAGTCTGTCTCATATATGCTGCTGGAAGTCGGCAGAATCGTGGCTCCCACCACCACCAAAGAAAGCACCAGAGCCATGACACAACACCTGCAGAAATAATGTTGATAAATCATTCCGGGAAGGTGATGTCATTCATTGAAGACTGTGAAATCACAACTACTGAATACTAGGGTATATTAGTACACAATGAACACAAAATTAATATAAAAACTTAAAATATCATTTTATTGTAGTGAAGCTGAACTCCGAAGTGCAAATCAAATCCATAAAAGGTCAAGGTACAAAGTCTGGTGGTATTAAGGCAAGCAGGCATCATACTTCAACTTCAACTTGTTTTTTGCAACCAAAGAGAGGCCCGAGAGGGGATACCTAGCCAGTAGGTTAGGTTGTCTGTTGAGTTTAAGGTTTTAGGTCATACATTGTAGGTAAGGTCAGGTCAGGTTTGGATTTTGGTTAACTCAAACTGTATGGCACACTTATCTTACTAAACTGACACACGAGTTTCTCTATAAAATGATTTCTATATTATAGGAATTAACAAATATCTAAACCGGGACATGGAAATACCAATATGATCCCCAAAGTCTTAATATCAAGGCCATCTATATATATTAATATATAGGCCATCAAGGCTTAATATGGCCTTAGCGGCCTTAGGCCCAAATTAATTAGCTAGATAACTTTTCTGTTGGATTTATAAACCAAAACAAAACTTCTCAACTGTGTTCTCAACATAAACCTTGCATAAAGATAAACCAAATTCAAGTCAAGGTTTCAGACATCGAGGATTTCATTATCATGAGAAGTTTCTTTGAAATTAAATCTAATGACGTATTAGCCATTTCATCTGACGTTTCACATAGGTGTTTTGCCTGTTTAAATAAGAAAGGTTTTTAAAAATAAAATAAAGTAATGTTCGTATTTTAATGAAAATTCTTATGTAGTTGAAATTCCTCACATAATTGTTTTAATTCGAATGCGTCATAAGCTCAAATGAGCGAAATATGGCTACAGTTCTGACGCAGAAAAATTACATCGTGCCACAACGTGCTTTCAACCGTCTTGATTTCAACATAGGAGTTGCAAGGAGGGCTTATTATTATTATTTTCCGCTTCCAAGTTCCATCCTTTCCTATCATAACAAAGCCATAAGCAAGGCCCTATATACCGCCGTAAGCTGTTGAGGTAAGTTGCAAATTTGAATTGGGGTGGTTTTTGGTTTATATAGCCTTGGGTTTTTGATAAATGGGTCACTGATTTCATACACCCTGACCCTTGTTCTTTTTTCATGGGTCAGGGCAAGGGTAAGCAAGGGTCTCAGGTCAAGGTAAAAAGAGAAGACTGGTGAATCACTGGTGAATCACTGGCAGATTTAAATCAAAACTGAAATGGGCGCGTTTTAATTTCAGGCACATGCACCTCCATAGCCCAATCTTACCAAATGTTGTGAATGTGTAATCACTACATTGTGATCAAGCCAGCAATATTAATATTTTTCAACATTCATTGATTTATTCATTCAGGCAACATTCATAATAATTTACCTCATTAAACTTATTCGGCGGGATTAACTGAATGTAAATAAAAAGAATGCATTCCATATTGACTATTATTGCCAGTAACTATGGCCAGTGCTGCCAAGTGGTATTCATAGCACGGGTAGGTAAGGGTCACTCAGAATTGATGAAATTTCGAAGTTTTCCTTGCGCAGAAAGAAAGCAAGCAATTTTTATTGTTAAAGCTTGGGTTAAAACATAAAGCTGCACAGCAAATGATATTGTTAATTTGTATCATTTGTATAAATGTGCATACATGTAAATTTTTAGTGGAAAATATTAGCTCTAGATCTAGAATGTGATGTAACTGGGATTTTTTTTATTTGCCAGCCATTAGTCATCAATTTTTCACTTAGGTGCCTACTTTTAGGAGCTGTGCACCACATTTTCCATGTTGGCTGACCATCTGGTGGATGTATTGTGCGGAAACTGATGAGGATGTGAGTGTAAGCTACGATTTTTAGAGGTGATTGACCATTTATTCACCTGTGAACCAAAAGGAACCATGGTGACAAAGCTGCCTATTGAAAGTATTGGAAGTGCACATACATCGCGCTATGTAAAGTGCATCAACTGTATCATACTAACGTGACAGTCATATGTTGAATTTGTCATGTTATCAGCTCTGTGCCGGGCCCGGCCCTGGCCGAGGGGCAGGGGGACAGGCGCTTCGGCTACAGGTTTAGGGTCGGCCACTTTTGCGAATGTAACATATAGTAATATGTAACAATGTGTAATGTCCATTGTATGTAGGTACATTATACTATGAACACTGTATTGTGCTTGCAATTAGTAGTAGTAGAAGTAGTAGGAGTCGTAGAGGTTAGTTATCGTCGTTAATTCAGTGTGGTGCGTTTCATATATCGATGCTTTTATAAGTGGTGCAGAGTAAAAGTGGCGCGCATTCACGTTTGAACATTTACTGAGGAACATGTGCAAACGTGTTGTGTGTGAGTAGTGATGTGTGTGAGGACACAAGAGTGTTTTAGATGCTATACAAAACTTTTTCTCGAACGGCGTCTCGTATTAAGCGCCTCGGGCGCTTTTACGCCAATCGTGTATGTTATCTTTAAATTTGTGTACATAGATCCAATAAATTGTCTCTCTCTCTCTCTCTCTCTCTCTCTCTCTCTCTCTCTCTCTCTCTCTCTCTCTCTCTCTCTCTCTCTCTCTCTCTCTCTCTCTCTCTCTCTCTCTCTCTCTCTCTCTCTCTCTCTCTCTCTCTCTCTCTCTCTCTCTCTCTCTCTCTCTCTCTCTCTCTCTCTCTCTCTCTCTCTCTCTCTCTCTCTCTCTCTCTCTCTCTCTCTCTCTCTCTCTCTCTCTCTCTCTCTCTCTCTCTCTCTCTCTCTCTCTCTCTCTCTCTCTCTCTCTCTCTCTCTCTCTCTCTCTCTCTCTCTCTCTCTCTCTCTCTCTCTCTCTCTCTCTCTCTCTCTCTCTCTCTCCGCGTCCCTCCTCGGACAGTGGCGCCCTCTCCGCTGATCGTGGCGCCCTCTCTGCTCCAGGTGGCGCCATGATTCGTCTGCAGAATGCTTCTGAGCGCGCCGCCGCCGGTCAGGTCGACGAGACGAAACTGGCGCGCGACTCTGTAATCGCCAATACGGCCACATTTTTCGTGCTGTGCGGCGTCATCAGAGCCAGTGAGTAGCGACCACCGGTGGGCTCATTTCCTGCGTTTGGTTCATGTCAGCTGAGATCGCGGCTGACCGCTGGAGGCACTTTGGAGCCTCTTTTGATGTCGAGAATATGGGTTGATGCGCTGCATGTCGCTTGCATGATGTTTATGAGACATTGTGTGTTTTGGAGCATCATCACGAAGTCCTTGCGGTGGTGGTGGGTGCTGTTGTGTAGCTCTTCCAGTTCTCAGTTTGGGAAATGCTTGAAATATCTGTTGGTTGGGGAATATTATGCATGAAAACAAACGAGCGGAGCACCATGCATATGCGGTGAGCCTTCGGCCCTGACACAATTCGGTTTGAATGGTTTGAGCTGCACACCAGGCATTTTTTTTTTTAATTGAGCGCGTTCTGTATTCTATTTTTAAATCTCAACCTGAGTGGAATCTAACTTTCGTTCTTAGTGTTTCATTTTTGTCACTTTTCTTGTTCGGGTATTATTTCGGTTACGATCACTTAACCCTAGAACGCCTAGGGGGGGGGGGGGTTGTATCAACCCCCCCCCTGAGGTTTTTTTCGAAGTGCACGCTAAACGGCTTGTCGTAGCGGGCTGAAATTTTCAATACCCTCTGGGGCAACCTTTGCGCATCTTTTGCCGAAAAAAAAAATGATCGGGTCATGTCAGGTCACGGAGTTATGACGTCATAAGAGGTACAGCCTCCGGCCGACAGTTACCAAACGTGTGCGCCGAATCCCTAGGTTTTCTGCCGGTGATACCCACATTGTTTGATGGATCATGATGAAACTTCCCATGCATGTTGGGGCAAGCATTGGCTATCGTGTGGTGCAAGAAAATTGACCGGGTCAGGTCAGGTCACGGAGCTATGACGTCACAAGAGGAACAGCGTCCGGTACTATTTTTGAAAAGCGCCCGAACCACTATTTTGCTAATTCTTGTCACCTCAATGGGAATATGTAGCAATATTAGCTTCTATAGGGAGCAAATGGACCTCCCAAATCCAAAAATACAATCAGATTTCAAAAATTTAAATTGTGATTTTTCGAATTTCTGCCGCCGACTGTGACCTTGCCGACTTCCGGCGCTCCCAACGCGCCATTTTTAGAGCTAGGGAAACGAAATACATACCAAACGATAGAGAATTGATCAAGGAACACGATAGTGAAGGTTTCAAGTCGATATCTCCCACCGTTTTGCCGCAATCGCCTCGGAAAGTTGAAAAAGTTTGATTTTTTTTCGGAAAATTTGACCTTTGACCGGTCATAAGTAGGTCAAATGTTGACCTAGGACCAAAAAATATACCACCAATCGCGAGATCTCGTTGAGAGCAAGCCGTTGGTTTTTGCCGCTAAGCTCTACGACCTTCCGTTTCGAAACGCCAGGGGGGGGGGGGTCGTAACAACCCCCCCCCTGGTCGTTCGTGTTATGAGAAATGGCCTGGTCGTGCGAGGGTTAACCCGCGCACCGACGGGGGTCTGCGCCAACTTCGCACCGACGGGAGGGGGGGCGGATGACCGCCCCCCCCTGAGATCTCGAGAACGAAGCAAGATAGCGACAAGCGGTAAACGGCATCGGATACGCACGAACAAGGTCTACAATTTTTACTAAGGTCATTTTCAGGTCAGGTCAAAGATGACGTCACAGGGGTCGAAAAAGTCAAAATGGCGGCGCTAGATATGGAGAAAGTTTTTCTCGAATAACTTTCGAATTAGTCAAGATAGGAACAAACTAAGGGCATCATCGTGATCCTCTCGTCAATCCGCATCGAATGATATATATATATATATATATATATATATATATATATATATATATATATATATATATATATATATATATATATATATATATATATATATATATATATATATATATATATATATATATATATATATATATATATATATATATATATATATATATATATATATATATATATATATATATATATATATATATATATATATATATATATATATATATATATATATATATATATATATATATATATATATATATATATATATATATATATATATATATATATATATATATATATATATATATATATATATATATATATATATATATATATATATACCTATATGTTGACCTCGAAAGGTTCAAGTTCAAAGGTTGACCTCAGGTCACGTGACCTCGAGGTCATCATGTATATCATTCGATGCGACTTGACGAGCTGAACACAATGAGACCATCCGCGCGGCTGTATCTTGTTCCTGTACGGAGTTATTGGCAAAAAACCGCTGGTGACCTTTGATGACGTCACATGACCTTACAGCTGCCCAACAGCAAAACAGACCTCAAGGTAGTGAAGGTTGATCGTATATGAAGTCATGTATGATATATGGGGCCATTCCGACCCGTTTTAGTGGTAAAAACAGGGAGTTGATTTTTCCCCCATTGACTGATAATGGGGAGGTCGCGAAATTGACCTGACCTTAGGCCACCGACATCAAAATTCCGAGATATAGAAATTGTAGCTACTAATGACCTAATAACATCCTGGGACTTTCAAAGGCCTCCGACATCTACTGTAGCTCTGGCACGGTGACAAAGTTGCAAAAAAGTGACTTGAGGTTGGGTCATTCAAAGTGACCTGGTGACCTGACCTTGAAAGTTAGGAGGTTCAAACTTGCACACCATGTGCAAAATTGATGAGAGAATAGTCATACAAAATTTCGCGGCGCTACGCGCCGCGGTTTTCCCGCTATCCGCGAAAAACCTTAGGGGGGGGGGCGGATATCCGCCCCCCGTCGGTGCGCGGGTTAATATATATTTTTTGCTTTTTAACAAACCTAAAGACGCTCCCGCCTCTAGCTCTGCTCATACCGTGCTCAGTTTGAACGCGGAGATGGAGGCTTCAGTTGTCAGCACTTTGCTATTTTTCACAATCAGGGCCCTGTTCACCCCTTGTTTATTTAGCAGCAGATTTATGACGTTGGCGGTCAATTTACATCACGGTTACATGACGTCATCACTGTAAGTTACGTGTTATGTGAATGATACATTTACAACACGCATATGATTGCCCGTAGTAAGGCCTGCATGCTGGCGTCAGCAGCCTACGTCAGCGTACTTCAGACCGCCTGCGTGCGTTTCTCAGCCTTTCGTTGGTCAACTTTCATTGGTCCTTTATCCCTGCAACACAGTAAGCTAGTGGGCTGTTAGGAAACCTTTTTTTACCAGCAGCGGGCGAACAGGGCCCTGGATCAGTCTGAGTGCTTCTTTTCCTCATAAGCTATATGCCTAGCCCAGTCAATCGGTACAATGCCCGAACTGCCATCGTATCCCGGTGTCAGTGTCGGCTCCCGGTGCCATGTAGCCGTTTAGCTGAAAAAAAGTTACCGAAACGTCATGTCGCATGCATGCTTCATCAAAGTTAATGTAACCCTGACTCATGCGGTGTCCATCACCGTTCCGTGCTTCTATCCTCAAGATTCTGAAATCCTTCTCCTCCACGCCGCAACCCCCCCCCCCTCCGGGCTGGACAGGCAATTATCTCATGCGGGCTGCTCCCTTGGAGCGGCACCGCTGCTCCCGAGGGAGCGCAACCCGTAGCCGGGTGCAGTGATGAGTGAGTACCTTGGGGCTGGGTGGCCTGTCCTCTGGACGGGCTCAGCCCCGGTGACTCACTAGGGTGCCTGCCCAGACCAATGTCTCCCCCTATATCCTATTATCCTCCCGGCTCTGAAATGGTCTCATTGGACCGAAAGGGCCTAACCCAACAAAACAACAAACATGCGGTGTCTATGTTTCAGAATTTTAGGTGAATAATCGCACATGATGGGGAAAATATTTTCATCCTAAAATATGACAAGTGGCTTTATTTCATCTTTGTTAAAGAAATATGTCGAACGTTTGATTGAACAGCCAGCTCTGCCAGGTTACACATGACTTGGCAGTTGATGCATCTACTCTACATCATTTCATTTCAGATCCTGTGAAGGTTCTGACAAATTTTGAGGTAAAAAAAAAAAATGGTATTATGCAGTTTTGCGGAAAGACTAAAGGTATACCATTTTGTCTTCGGATTTTTCTTCGTTGGCACACCCATTTGAAATCCAATTTTAGAACATTGTGCGGTGTTTTCGCACGCTCTGTTGTGTATGAAAGATGGAAAATAGTTTTTGCTACATGGAATCATATGAAAAATATATTTTGTAAACCTTATTTCTGTCATTTTAGGCATAAATCATACAACTAAAGCAAAAAAAAAACGTATTTGAGGAAAGTGGTACCTATATTTTCTTTAACATTTGGCAGAAAGCTTCGTTGAATCTACCTCATGGCATACACTGTCAGACTTAAGCATGACTCATTGTTAGACTCATTGTTAGACATGACTCATGAACGCCAAAGGGTGGACGCTCTACGCTGAGTACCGCATAGCGTGTGATGTAAAATATTTTCGTATCCAACAATTCAATCATTCAAGTTTTGCGTTACATTTTTGCTACGTGTTCGGGAATCATGATATTGATGGCAGCTTCATAATATGGTATATTTTGGTGGCTCTTCTGTGTAAGACTACGTCAAAACCATGCTGCAAACATGTTTCCATTCTTTTGTATATTCGCAGCCTCAGTTTGCATCCTTTCAACTTCGTCTGACTTTTTATTGATCACTGTCATAAAACCCAAATTCTTGTCGGCTTCACCCCGACATTCCATCCAATGGTCTAATCAGACGCCGCCGTCGACTGTCCCATAGATCAGACTCGGGCCCCGGACCGATGGGTTTTTGGCCGTCGGGCCAGCCGGTGTCGCTGGCCGCTCCTGCACAGATCGAGAGCCGCCGAGACATATTGTTTGCAGTCGCTCGGTCGCGGCCTGTGCGGCCCGCCGTATTTCTGGCCGGCTCGTTCGAATGCATCTGCCGCCGGTGACGCCGCCGGCGCCGACAATAAGTGGACAGGCGCCGCTCGGCACGACGGTCACGCACGCGCCCGTCGGCGGCCGGCTCGACTGACGTCATCAGCGAGGGG